GTGTGTGTGTGTGTGTGTGTGCGTGTGTATGTGTGTGTGTAAGTGAGCTTTACCACCCACCTTCAATTCAGCAACCAGGAAAGCTGGAAGGTTGAAATTTTGCGAGCACCTTCCAAGCGCGCGCATTATTCGTACAAACTAAATCTGCATAAAGGAACTGCTGTTTTTTGGAAACGACGTGAAAATTTCTGCAGGAAAACTGGTCACTGAACACGTGCGTCTAGACCCACGAAACGACTAAAAAATATCTAAATATTATGGCGGGGAAAACACTTCGAGAACCAGACAAGTTGGAAAGTCGAAATTCCACAGTGACATTCCCCATCCATTTGTGAGCTAAAGATCACAAATTCAGCTGTAGCGCAAGCTACGCCATGCATAGACACGTCAAAATTCACTGCTGGCACTATGCTAGCTCGAAAACTGGCTGGGGAGCAGTAGCGGACATTTGTCAAAATATTTGTCGTTGATTTGGGAAATCGCTTATTCTAAGCAAGTTTTGACTTACACTTGCTCTATTATTTAGGGCACTTTAAAGATATTAGAAGCGAAGCAACTATTTTGCTTACCGGACAAGCTGCGAGGCTTTACCATTGCAATGATATTCAGTATTCAAGCGCGATCTAAATACGGCCTGTAAGCCAAATTCTCTGCATAACTACATGGGAAATATTGAGTTTAATAGCAACTTCAAAAGAGAAATATTGAGTTTAATAGCAACTTCGAGACGTTTAGGTGTCCTACTGACTGATCTAATCTATCTTGAAAGTTTTCTAACTGCTCAATTTGCACAACTCGCTCCAAGACGCATTGATTGTTTGAGTGGCATTTCCTTCTCTAAGCAATTTTCCAATTGAATTTTATCTTTGACTGCTGTAGTACCCTGCGTGTAACATATGTAAGGAATCGAAGTAGTAGGATACCGATGAGAGCAATTAAAAGGAGCAAAGGAATGATTATATCAAGCAAATAATACTGCACAAATGATAAGTTGTTGGCAGCAATATCAAAGCTGTCGATTGGTCCAAATTTCAACGCGAAATCGACGTGTCTCAACAAACGTTCACGCGAAGAGAAGGACTTGTGCCGGATCATTTCGCTTAAGCGCTCCGACGATTTGCGATACCTAAATTCTCATTGTCTCTTGCAAGCACAATCACTGTTTCGTCTGATTTCTTCCTATAACACAAAGCCCTCTCTACGTCTGCAGTTTTTGGCCATCCAGAGCTCTACACTGCATTTATCCATAATGGATTATCATGCTTTCTGTTACATCCCATCATTTTCACTGTCTTTTACTCTTTCAGTTTGAACTGAGAATACAGGTTTGTCGGGCAGAAAGCGAGAAAGCTTATCTGGTGCTAGTTACTCGATGCTCAAAAAGCTTACAGTGTGTTGCGAAGGACTTTTCCAAGCGCGTTTTTCAGTGTTTCCGGTGACAGATCACTCTTGTCGACGCAAACTGCAATGTTTCGCTTGACAGCCTTTCGTGCATTGTGCTTCTGGTCACCGAATAAGGGGACGCACAAGAGTGGTACTCCTTGGTGCACTGCTTCCATCAGACTATTCTGGCCGCAGTGCGAAACGAACGCGCGTAGATTTGGATGACCTAAAAATAAACCGAAAGCTCATTTGCCGGAAAAGAAGACAAGCGTGCTAGGCGGAAGCTAATTTAAAACAAGCATAATTCTAATGTCATTTCCGAAATCATAGATCTAGAATCACCCTTCTCTGTTATGCGT